GAAGTACTGGGAGCATAAGCTTTCGTAGGTAAGAACCTCACTTCTTCAGATGCAAGACGAACCTCACTTCTTCAGATGCAAGTCTTGCATCTGAAGAAGTGAGGTTCTTACCTACGAAAGCTTATGCTCCCAGTACTTCTGTTAGTCTCAAAGTTGCCACAGGACCCTCTGTTGCTTTTTACAGATTCAGACTAACACGGCTACCCCTCTGATAGTTTGAAGTTTGTCTATGGCCAGGCCTTGGGGAAAATTTTAAACAAACTTCAAAAGGCTGCCCTGACCAGGTGCCAGTAGCATGCCTTGGGGTCCAAAGTAGAGATGAACTTCCTGGCTCTATCCTATGGAACCCTGGGTCTCTGTTTGAGATGAGTTTGAATGTGGTTGAGCTTATGTTAGTCTCAAATGCTGTTTTAAAGAATTTGTTTGAAAGGAGTTGGGCCCCTGCCGTGCTAGCAAGCAAAACCATGTTTCAAATCATCTTATCCTTAAATGCTTTAAAAACCATATTTAAATACTTTGGGCTTGAACCTATCCATTCTGGGAAACATGGAACATATTTTTGTGGCTGAAGAAGTTGGAAGGTACCTTTCATTTAGGAGACAGCTTATTGCTGATTTCACTGCTAGATGCAGGGCCGGCTCCAGGCACCAGCTTCTCAAGCAGGTGCTTGGGGCGGCCGTTCCGGACAGGGGCGGCAGTTCCAGGTATTCGGCGGCAATTCGGCGGAGGGTCCGTCACTCTGCCTGGGAGTGAAGGACCTCCCGCCGAATTGCCGCCGCAGATTGCGATCGCGGCTTTTTTTAGATCGCGATCGCGGCTTTTTTGTTTTTGTTTTTTTGTTTTTTGTTTTTTGTTTTGGCTGCTTGGGGCGGCCAAAACCCTGGAGCCGGCCCTGGCTAGATGTGATGCATTTTTGGTAGTATGTTAAAATCTTTTTTTTTTCTTAATAGGAAAATATATTTAACTGCCAACACTAAGTGAGAAATAATCCCCTAAATTGAGATGCTGTCTTGACAGCTGAGTGAAGGAAGGGGTATTCATGTTACTGTATCAACCCTTGACTTAAACAAATAAAAATACCCCTTAACACACATTGTAGCTTCTGTCATTTCAATTTTATGACTTTGTGGGGGGAAAAGCGGTGAAAATTAAAAAAAAAATTGTTTGGTCACATAAATATTTGTTTGCTGCTAGATCTGTGAAGTAATTCTGGTACTCCAGACAAAAATCTACAGTTCAACACAATCATCCCATGACATAGTTTTAAGATGTTCTAGCCTCTGTCTGAATTAATGCAGCTGATGTTTTTTTCCCTCCCCCACTCTTCTCAAGGATGGGATTCCATTGGCCTCCATTCTGCTCAATATCCCACTTACATCTTCATGTCCTGGCCCCAGCCAGTCAGCTGGGATTCTTGTCCAGGATGATATACAGAATCAATTCCTATTGGTTTATCACGGTAAGTGCAGCACAGTTGATTTGGTAGGTTTCCAGTTGCAAGCATAAAATGTGAAAGCTTTCAAATGATTTGAAATAGTGATCTGCTCTGGCCTAATTTTAAAGCCTGATCCAAATCCAATGGGCCCCATAGCCAACCTAAACCCTACCCAAGCCTCAGAGGGTCGAGTTGTTTTCAGACCCAGCCCAACTTGAATCCAACACTTCCCTCTGAACCTGAATTATTGTCACACCCATGTCCTCAATATGGTGAGCGCTGCTTTTCTCCCCATGCCTGCAATTCATCTCTGGTGAAGTTGGGACAGTTGCTGTGCTGTGGAGTGAGTGTGCCAATGAATTGTAGAACTTCCCACTCCTCCTCATACACAGCACAGCAAGGTGTCAGTGGGGAGCAAGAACAGGGCATGCAGCTGTTGGTGCACCAACCCCAGGGGTAGGAGGAGGAGATTAGAGCCTACTCAACTCAAGCCTGAGATGTTTCGACTGTTTTCAGATCTAACCTAACACTTGTAGTCGGATGCCACTGGGTTCGGGTTGGGTTAGACTCATAGAGTTTAAGGCCATAAGAGACCATTGTGATAATCTAATCTGACCTACACATTGTAGGGCAAAGAACTGCACCCACTCACTCCTGTAATAGACCTGTAGCCTCTGGGTGAGTTACTGAAGTCCTCAAATCATGATTAAAAGACTTCAAGTTACAGAGAATCCACGATTTACTCTAGTTAACCTGCAAGTGCCCTGTGCTGCAGAGGAAGGGTTGCAAGGTTCTAGTTTGAAATGTATAATACAATGCAAAAATCTTTAGTTATCTATGTTAAAACTACTGTTTGAACAGTTATTTTGAGAAAGACATTTGTATAATTTTTAATTCAGGATTACTTGTACCTTCCTTGAGCAAATGTCAAGGTAAAACTCAGTGTGCCTTACTTTGACCTTTTACAGCCTTTTCCTTTTTAAGGAAAATGTGTGTTAAAATATGAGTAGTACAAACTATTGTGTAGTTTTAGATCTAATATATGGCCTTTATTGAAAATGCAAATGCATTAAAACTTGGAAACAAGAAAAAATACTTGTGAGCAGAAGGTAGCCTAAGAGATTGTTCATAGAATGTCAGGGTTGGAAGGGACCTCAGGAGGTCATCTAGTCCAACCCCCTTCTCAAAGCAGGATGCAGACAGATTTTTGCCCCAGATCGCTAAATGGCCCCCTCAAGGATTGCACTCACAACCCTGGGTTTAGCAAGCCAGTGCTCAAACGACTGAGCTAGCCCTCCCTCAGTTGTTAATGGGATACATAGCATTTCACCAGGTCAGTCTTGCTTGAGTGAAAAGTTACAGCCATCTGATGGCTGCTGTTCAATAGCTTATGTGCTGTTTTGCTGGTCTCAGTCCAGTCCACAAATGTCCACTTCACAAAAAACATTTTCTGTTGCAGCAAAAGTACCAAATAGTGCCAGATCTCCACTGAGTGGGGCTAAGAGCAGAATTGGCATGGAGACTGAATAATTCACTAATCTTGAAGTTATCTTTTAAGGGTTGAGGCATGCTGGCAGGGCAGGGTGGGGAAGGCTTCTGGGCTACAGCTGTGCTGAACAAACAGAAAAACCTACACTTTTAGTACAGCAGTATTATCCTGTTAAGTGAGACAGACCCTCCACATAAGTGCTAGAAAAATCAGTGCTTTGCATTTGGCCTAAGGGAGTGTTGCTGGGACATAGGATCTGTAAAGGGGAATAAAAAGCCAAGAGAGGGCCCCTTTAATTTTCTGAGATGACATTATAAAGATAAATACAAATAACATAAAATAGAAAACGTACTTGAATTTTTATATGACACTTGATTTTGAAAGAATGGAAATCAAGATTCAGAATTATATTAAATTGTAGAACTCAAAATTAAATTATCTAACTTTAATAGCAAATGAACTGTAAGGCTATTTAACCTTGTTTAATTGTCCTCACCAGGTGAGCTTGGTAACATGCTAGAGGTTTGATGTCCCATAACAGTTAGCAAGTATATTAATGACTTGAAGGCAAGTATTGAGGCACTTAAGCTGCTTGCGTTTTTAGGTTCCAGTACCTAGTGGGTCCCAGTAAGACTTCAGACACATGTTCAAATGGAAAGGATAACTTAATAGTACTGGCAGAAAAGGTCAGAAATACCCTAGACTCCCAGTTACAATTGTCAACCGAGTTGCTCCTAGCTTGGCTCTTAGGGGCCATCTAAAAGAAGTTTAGAGCTCCTCATGCCTAATACCTAGTGTGCCCCAGTTTAATCTGCTAAAGGAATTTGGGTATCCCTACAAATCCTTTAAGTTCCACATTATGTCTCCCTTGGGGGCCCCTTCACATTGTCCTTCCATGTTGATGAGTCATCCATAGGCTGCCCTACCTTTGCTTAGCTAGGTGTCTGAATATGAAGTCAACAGCAGTACCAGCTCCTTGTGCCCCAGCTTTCATAACTCAGCTGTTGCCAAGCATACATCTCCTCTTAGGTTTCCAAAACACCCTGCCTGGGTGACCCATGCTCGACCAGTCGTCATCCCAGTTGTCTCAAAACTTTCTCCTTTTTCTGCTGACCTACTAACCCTCCAGTGGTGGAGGGAGAAAACTAGTGAATCTGTTGTTCTAGCAGATGTAACTTCTGGTATACATCCTGGCTATGTGAAGCAAGAAACACTCACTGTTCTGCTTAATGTATCTGGTACATATCCACCTTTAAACTAAATGTGTTGCTTTCAGTGGGATATTCGGGATTTGTGGAAGACCAGTTATTAAACTGGAGGTCCATCCGTCATAGGGTTAATATATTGCTTCTTTTTTCCTGCAGGCTGAACAGCTGATTGAACGACTGCAGACTGAAAATGCTGCCAGTTGAAAGCACCTTGCCTAGTTCTGGATCACAAATAAATTTAGATTTGTTCTTTGAACTCTGATTAAGATTATACAGTTTGGTGCAACTATTTGTGAGGTTTTTTTTTAAAAAAGGAAAAGCTTGAGTTGATTGCCTATTCCTTCAGGGCAAGAAACTTTTGATTGTCTACCTAATTCTTAATGTATGTGTACTCAAGTTTTCTGATAATAGATGCAAAATATTTGAATGGAAAATAGAGTAATATATAAAACACTAGTTCTAGTAAAACACAGTATAAACAGTAATGGTTTGAATGTATTAAACTGGGAAAATTTTCAACAGTAACTGTTAATAGCATGTACACTGTACCAAGCTGAATGCTTAAAAGTGGAATCTAGCTTTTTTATTTAAAAAAAAATTTGGGGAATGCAATAGTGTTTAAAACGTACAGGTTTCCTTTATACTTGCATGAGTCATGCTGGTGATGTCTAGTTCTTAGTAGGTACAGTGCTAAAGATAGACACTACTGTTTTTTGGTGCTAAACCATCACGTATCTTGCATGGTAATGGTCTGTAGCAAGTGCTAAACATAACATATTGAGCCCAGAATATGATGATGCTTTAGAACATAGAATTTAGTTTAAATGTGTGTAGGAATGTTTATATGATGGACTTGGATTAAGATTGTTACTCGTCTTGAATATTAATTCCCTAAATAATTTAATTGTACATTTAAAAATCTTGTAAAGAGTTTGGATGGATTGAATTAACACACTTGCCTCTGGGCATCAAATTTAAACTAGAACCTAGATTAAGGACTTGTCTACACAGTGCATTAGTCAGCACTAGAAGAGCAGGTTGTAAATTATAGTGTGCATTACTCTGTTGCATACTAAGTAGCCTGTATGGATCCTGCTGGCATGCACTAAAAGATCCCTAGTGTGTGTGAATGTAGTCCTGTTTCAAACAGTACTACATTCACACACACTAGGGAATTTTTAGTGCATGCCAGTGAGGTTCACATGGGCCAGTTAGTATGCAATATGGTAGTGTGCACTAGAATTTTACATCCTTCTCGTGCAGGTGAACACACTGGGAAGACAAGCCCTAACATATGGTTCTACTGAATGTCACTTGGATTTACTTATGCCATGGCTAAATTTGACTCCTAAATATTATAGGTCACAAGATAAATTGTTCACTGATGGTGGGTTTTGTTGTTTTTGAGCTCACCACACAAAATGACCATCTAATCTGATAGATTTTGGCATATCTGGGACTCAGGCAAAGCCCAAAACTGAAATACTCATGTCATGTGGTGTCAAGAGTTGCATGAGGTGGTGTTCGCAGCGCCTGTCTGCACTGTCTGGCTCTAGCCAGTGCTGTCGGTCCCTCATTTTTATGAGCACCAAATTAATTCAGATCATTTGAAAAGAAGATAAAATTTCAGGACAATAATTTTATCCCTTATTTGTGTTGTTTGTTTGTTTGTTTGTTTCTACCAAACCATTTTGCATTTACCTAATTGAAACCAGTGCCCTTAGCATCTACGTATTAACACCTGCAGGTTTCTCTGAGAAGTCTTGAAGTCCTTTCCACAGATCCTGTTGCCTTAGTGATGCAATGTTTTGTAATATTTATTTATGTAACACCTTATTTGTATATAGTACTTGAAGTATTAAGAATATGCTGACCAAAGAACAAAATTCCCTGCCATAAAGAGCTTACTTCTGTCTATCTTTTCTCTGAGACATTGCACTTAGGCTATGTCTGCAGTTGGAGCTGAGGGTGTGGTTCCCGGACATACCTGTGCTAGTTTTGCTTAAGCTAGCATGCTAAAAATAGCAGTGTAATTTATGGTAGCGGGGCAGGCGTGAGCCGTCACATGGGCTAGCTGCCCTGATTGTATCCCACCCGGACCCAGTGGGTACCTACTCAAGGCAGCTAGCCCATGCTGCCACTTGCTGCTGCCTGTGCGACTCTGGCAACACTGCTATTTTTAGCATGCTAGATTGATCAAAGCTAGCACCGGTACATTTATGTGAGCTGGGAAACACCTCTTCAGCTCCAAATATAGATGTAGTGTTAGTATCTTGATTCTCTTGTTACAGGGGATTGGCATGTAACTTACAGTACTTTGGAGTCTGGTTTATTTCAGATTGGTGCTAGGAAGACTTTGACTCATTCCTTGCAATAATTAGGGAATCAACTCACACATCCTAACTTGATTAAAATATTAGGATGCCAATATATTAATATCTTTTTTTAAAAGTGTTAAAAATGCTGCTCATGAATATTGTGGTAGTGAGTTAATTTATATAACTATACTTAACTGATATGCATCATTACAAGCTACTTTGATGAGCCAGTTTTAAAATATTGTGGAAAAGCTTAATAAAAACCAGAAATAGTAGATGTTAACCTAGGCTTCTTGGAATATTTTATAATTCTGTCAGAGGTGGATGGTTGAATTTAACTGTTTTATTCTTAGGTGTCATACCTTTGCAGAGCTGCTAAAATGTGAAAATGAAAAGTATCTTAATTCTGGTATAGAAAATGTAGATAGGGTCACATTCAGTGCTTAGAATGAAACTCCAGTGGGACAGATGGTGATGGAAACTGTTAATCGGAAACAGAAACTTTCACTTCTGGGTTGCTAGTTCCAATTCAGTCTAGGCTGGTAATGGCAAAACAACAAAACCACATTGCCATTTAATGGCTGTTCAGTGTCTTATATAAACAAAATTTAGTTTTAATCAAGTTCATAAGGGGATGGGTATTTACATCACAAAGAACACCATAATTGGCAATTACTCAGATTTTGGTAGGTAATAAGGTCAAAGACTGAATGACCTTTTCACCAACTTAAGACTAATCCTTTATAGCTGAGTCATAGTCAGGTTTGCATGTGGCAGTAGACCCTACTGTTGCCCTGTTAGACATGCACTTGCCCATACTGTCATTCTTCCCAGAGTAAAATTAAATTGGGAATTTAGTGTACAGTGTATGCCCAACTGTCTCTTTCCAGAGTAGAGTCTCATTTTAAAAGTACAATGTATAAACAGGACAGCCTTACTCAGCTGCTGTGTATATTTAGAATTGCCTATTCAATTTTAGTTAATAAATTTTTACCTCATGAAAGATCAACATCTCCTATCAAGAGTTAGATTTTATTACATCTTGAGCATCAATGGAATTTTGTAAATTCCAGCCAGTTATGTGTGTGCAAACCTCACTGGACACAATGGGGTTGTAAACGTGTAATGAGGGCATAATTTTGCCTGCAAAAACCTTTATGATGATGTGCAAGATTGAAAGAAGCCAACTTGATTCTGAGATTAGATTGTTTACAGGGCTGGCTGATAACATTTAATTGTAAATGGAGCTACAGAAATTGAGACAAACAGAACCTCACACTGCTTTTCTTAGGCCATGTCTACACTAGCACTTACGTCAGCAAAATTTTTATCGCTCGGGGGGGGGGGACACACACCCTAAGCAACATGAGTTTTGCCGGCGTAAGCACTTGTGAGCACAACTCTGTGTTGGTGGGACAGCATCTCCCGCCAACATAGCTACCGCCAATCGTTGAGCTGGTTTTATGTCGACGGGAGAGCTCTCTCCTGTTGGCATAATGTGGTTACACGAGTGATCTTAGTGGCACAGCTGTATCAGTACAGCTCTGCTGCTGTAAGCTTGCCAGTGTAGACCTGGAGAAGTACTTCTCAGTGTAGATTTTCACTTTGTTTTCTTTGGGGGCTGACTAAGTTCTTGGTGGACCTGTTGGGAGTAGTAAATTTGCTTCTTGAAAGGGGCACTGTCCGTGTTAATAACTTAAATTAAAAAAGTAAGATTAAAAAAAATGTTGATAGAATCTTTTAATCTCCTGATTTCTTAAAGCATCCTGCTCCTTGTGGATATTTATAAGAGTTTTATTTTTAGTAAGACAGTGGACAGGCTTGTTCCTTTTCTTCTCCCCCACTTGTTTCTCCCACCCTCTTTAATAGCACTGAAATAAAGGCTCCCCCCATCCCCTAAGAAACGAACACCACTCTAGCTACCTCTGCTCATGGGGATGCTCCAAGGAAGCCTGGGAAGTGGTCTCAGCTGCCTCAGCCACTGTTCCTTTGTGGACCCATGTGGGAGCCTGGAGACTAAAGCAGTTTTTCTCATGTTTATTGTTCCACTAATGCCTGCAGGGACCTAGGGTTTGAAGGGGTTTCCTAGCCCTGGCTCCTAAGAGGAATAAAACCACCCTTTTGGCCACAAACTCAGGAACATCAAAAGTTCTGCTAGCAATTCAGCAACAACACCTTCTTGCGGGGCCTGTGACTGAGCATATTTTACACTAGAGCTGGAAGGTGTAAATTCCAGCTTGAGGTGACATACCAATGCTAGCTCTGACTGAACTAGTGTGCTAAAAAGGGTGGAGGTGTAATGGGAGGGGGGTGGGATAGGTGCCTGAGTACCCATTTAAGGTCTCTTGGGATCATAGTTCGGGGAGTAGCCCCTCATCCCACTGTGGCTATATGCTTTAGCCTGTTAACTTGATCATAGCTAGAATGGCTGTGTTCTCAAGCTTAAATTTACAGGTTCCAGTTCCGGCATACCCTTAAGCTGCAATGTAAATTTTCCTTTTCCCGCACTGAGAACAGAGCTTGAGATTAATGCTAAAGTAAGTACCAGCAACTAAACGGTAATATGGTTAAAATACTGTGCATTTGATAGCACCAAGTAAAAAGGAAATATTTTCTTACACAGCTTTAGTGACAGGGCTGTTTAGCATCATAAATACAAAATTCCACTACTGTAATTTAAGTTGACAATGATCCTTCAAGTTATTTTGGGGTGTATTCCTAGCATGCTATTTATAGATCAACACTTTGTTTGCCCGCCTTATTTTAAACTGGTGTTAACAAAAGGTGCTGCATAAGAAAAACATCTCACATGTTCAACTGTTGCATGATGAAATTTATTAAACTGCTGGCACTGTGCTCAATGCTTCACAAGATAAAGCCTGTCCCAAAGAACGTACACTCTCAGCTGAATAGACAGAGTGGACAGGTCACAACTGGAAGATGAAGTTTTTTTTCTTTTGGTAGCTTATGTTAAGTTATTCATTACTTGTGGAGAAACCAGAAAAAGTTAATCTTTTAGGAAGGATTTGAAGGAAGAAAAGAAAGCGACTTGGCAGAGCAAAAGTAGGAATTTTAATATTATCAAAAACGTTTGCTACTCAATGTGTGGCAATTTAAAATATCAAAAAACGAAACCCAACCAATAAAAATAAATGGTAAACATTTTCCTGGTAAACTAACGTATTCTACATGCTCTCTTATGAGTGGCAGTGGTGGTGTGATCAATTTAGCTGATCGTAATGAGTTATGTAGTGCTTTTTCAGCTGTAGAGCTCAAAGTGCTTTTCAAAGGTGAGTTACCCCATGTGACACTGTGGTACCTAAGGCAAGAAAGATTAAGTATTTGATCTGCATCATACATACAGCTAGTGAATATCAGAGCTGGGATTAGAAGCCAGGTCTGCATCCTAGTCTCATGCTCTACCCCCTATATTTAATGGTTTCCTGACAAACTAGACAAGCTCAGGATTTTATTTTTCACCCCCTCTGTATTAGAGAACAAATTGGACAACCGCATTCCTTCAAGCTTCTTTTAAGATAGTAGCCAGTGCTGAAAGCAAGCTAGCAGGGGCATGTATGGGAATAAAAATTTGTCCACTTCTGGCAGGGCACTCTGTGCCCCCAGGGCCAGAGGAGCTGGCACTCTTCCACCCTCCAGGCTCGAGGCGCTGCCTTTCCTGCTGTAGCCCCAGGGCCGGAAGAGTTGTCATCTCTGGCCCAGGAGCTCACTCTCCCTGCCCTGGCCTCTGAGTTCTGTGCCCTAGTTGATTGGCAGGGAGGGGCTTGCCCCCCCCCCCAATTGCACACACCCCTGCAGGCTAGTGAACTCAGAGCTATTATCAAGACCCAGTGCAGACTGGTAGTAAGTTAGTAAAGAATTTTAACTTCAATTATGCAGAGCCATAAGAGAAGCCCCATCACTTGAGACATTTAGAAGTAGACAAGACAAAGCTGTGAAGGAAAAGGGCACAGGGATGGATTAGTTGACCCATTACATCATTTCTATCGCCAACTTCTAGGATTCTATACAAATATTTTTCATCCTCTTCATTGGTTTTCCATTCCACCCCCGTGCTGTATAAACCTTTATCAAGCTGACATTTACATGGTTTATTTTCCTAAATGAAAACATTCATCAGTATTATTCAAGTAAGGTGATGATGACATTGTCATCTTTGCCTTGCCAAAGCATTTCACCTTCAAACTGAACCAGCCCATATTTTCTTGCTCTCAGCAGGATTCCCACTACTTTATTAGAAATAGTCACATATGTTTCAAACAGCTGTCCGAATGTTACTCTTATATTTCCATCTTCTCCTTTCTCCCCAATATTTCTCATGATCAAGCATAGCTCTTCCACTTCCTTTCCCACATGTGTGTGGGCATCTTTCCCTCTTTGCTCTGTTTTAGACCCTTCAGGCGGCCTCCCATATATGGGATCTCCTCTCTGGGGATGCACAGACTTAATCACGGGCTTGCTATCATTGCTGAATGGATTCTGTCTCTGATAATCAATGTGATCTTCTGCCCAGCTCTGCCAGCTTCTCCTCAGGTCACCTACAGCAGTGAATTGGGTTCTGGTGGCTCCAGCACTCTGCCCTTTGTTTTCCTCCATCTCTCAAGAATGTTTTGTGGCATCCAAGCAGGAGTCAAAGCAATGCACTGCTGACACAGCAGCTTCCTGTATGCACTCGCAGCTGTGGAGGAAAGCAACACTTTACATTCATATCGCTCTTATCTAAAGATCCTTAAGTGCTTATATAAAATATTGTAATAAAAAAATGAAATAGTTTCTGGGTCTTTTCATCTTATTACAAACCCATTCACATCTTGTAGCAGATATAGCACCCAAAGGCCCCCTACCTCCACTTCTTTCAATTGTACAACTGCATGAACTGAAAATAACGGTCCTTACTCAGGCAAAAGTCCTGGTGATTTCTATGGGAGTTTTGCCTGAATTAGGGCTGGAGGCTTAGGCCAAAGAACACAGTAAAAATCTGAACAGGTCATCATGTCTGCTCCTAACTCAACAACAATCAAGAACATAAAAGAACCCTAATTAAATAATTGAAGTCACTGAAATAATGTAGGTCCATAAATTAAACAAATTTAACTTTGAGTCTGTTACAGGACACACATTTCCTTCAGTTTCCAGACAGATATACCATATAGCCCAGCAGGCTTGGGATCAATACAGTATAGCCTTTGTGAAATAAAAATGCATTATAATATTTACTTACTTTTTCATGCACTTGCATCTTTTATAAAGCTTTCACCCTCTGTA